CCAGAACCCTCTCTCTTGGTCCTCTCCCACCAGACCCTCTCCCTGGTCCTCCCCCCAGAACCCTTGCTCCTGGTCCTCCCACCAGAACCCTCTCCCTGGTCCTCCCACCAGAACCCTCTTGCCTGCCCGCAGCCAAGTTCACAAACCTCATTCCCTCATCTGTTCTGAAGGCGGGAAGCGTTGCCCTGATCAGAGATGCAATGACGAACAAAAACAAGATGGCAGCACAGCAGCCCAGGTGAGGTGTCCAGGGAAGCCCCAACAGGAATTCCACCATCGTCTAGGCCCAGGGTACTTTCAAGCAGTAGGAAATACAGTATGAAATGCGCACTGTAGCGATGGCTCTGGTGCGCTTTTGATGTGGATTCAACGTCAGAGCCATAGAACTTTCCGGGCTGTGAGAAGCCCCCTGGCCCAGGTGTTGGGGCGTTTCTGTGGCCAGCAGGCACACTGAGGGAGATGGGCCTCTCTGGAAAGACTGTCCTCCTGAACAGAGGCTGGAATTCGGCTAACATGATTGGAGGCAAACTACATGACCTAACCCCCCAGATGTCACGGTAAGTGTTCAGGGAATAACATGTAGGGTCAATGTTCTCTAGTAACTTGAATATCTTATGGAAAATTGGGAAAGAGATGGAAAATGTGTGGGTCTATATCAGGCTGTTTAGAGCCACGGGCCATTTCCTGGGAACTTTTCCACTGTTGCTGATTATTTTGCTCTATGTCAACACCAAGGAGAGAGATGGGCGCAAAGGCCACCTGGGGTGAGTACCTGGCACCCAAGATGGGCCTCAAAATGGTCTTCTTTATGGCGGGCACTTCTCAGCCATCCCTAGTTTTGCAGAAATGGGCTGGGGTCCATTCCACTTTCTTTCGCTAGCCCATTGAATGGTTTTCTTAGACTTTTTGAGCCATTGAACTTCCATAAACCCATTACCATTTTCTCAGCAAAAATTGTTGCTTTTCACTAATTACATAATTTGCCACACTTGGGAGGGAGACCTGGTGAGCATAACAGAGCAAAGAATTGGGACAAGGTGGTTAAGCCAATGAAGCGGGGAGAGACAGTCATATTTTTCCTCCTTGGAATCAATCCACATATTCTCATTTTGGTCTCTGCAAAATGAACAATGAGACTTAAAAATGTTATTTTCATTTGAACTCTGCATAAAAATAAGACCAGCAGAGAAGTGTCTAAAGATACATCTTCCAAAAGGCATTGGTCTTGTGGTGATGTGGCGTGAGCGAGCCCCACTCTGCTGTCAAGACCTGTGCTGTGGGTGGGACTGGGGGCCATGGGTGGACAAGAGTGGTTAAAGAAAGTCAGGGACGAGGGATGAACTTGAAGAACGGTAACATTTCGCTCAGCTGGCATGGCTCGGTGGTTGAGCATCGACTTATGAAGCAGGTCACGGTTCGATTCCTGGTCAGGGCACATGCCTGGGTTTCGGGCTCAATCCCCAGTAGGGGGCGTGCAGGAGGCAGCTGATCAATGATTCTCTCTCATCACTGATGTTTCTATCTCCCTGTCCCTCTCCCTTCTTCTCTGAAATCAATAAAAATATTTTTTTTTTAAAAAGAAGAATGGTAACATTTCAGTAGATGGCATCAAGTGGGTACCGAGACAGTAGATAGATATGTTGTAAGAAGAGAACAGCATGAGGAAGAGAATGGCATAATGATGGGAAACTGCATGGAACACCCAGAGGAGGCCAGGCCGTGTGGTCCCCTTCTTAAGAGCCTTCAGTGGGTTTCCATCCCGAAGCCTCTATGAGTAGCCGAAGTCAAAGTTCCTCCCGTGCACCCTGCATGGCTTCTGCTGTAGGACTATTTGGTGTTCCATGAACATCTCACGTTGCTCCCTTATCAAGGGAGACTTTCCCATATAGAACAACTGACCTCTCACACTCGGCAGGAGGCAATGTAAGACGTCACAGCTGTTTTGGAAAGCAGGTGGGCAGTTTCTTCAAGTGAGATATCCAGGTAGCATATGACCCAGGCATTTCACTCCTAGACTTTTACCCAAGGGAAATAAAGGCAGATGTCCATACAAAGACTTACATATGAATGTTCATAGAAACTTTATTTGTAACAGCCAGCAATTGGAAGCAACCCAAATGCCCACCGTGGGTGAATGGATAAACAAACTATGGCACAGCCATTCTGTAGACTCAGCAACAAAAGCAAAGTACCGAAACACACTGTAACACGCTCATCTCAAAATAACTATGCTGAGGAAAGAAGATAAAAAGAAAGGGCATGTGTACGGTTCCATCTATATATAGAAAAGCCTAAGCGACCATTACGACGGGTCCACCAAACGACCCGTCGACCAATCGCTTTGATGACGCACTGACCACCAGGGGGTAGACGCTCAATGCAGGAGCTGCCCTCTGGTGGTCAGTGTGCTCCCACAGCCAACCTTCTGTGGTCCCTTCCCCCTGCCGGCTGGTCCCAATCGGCCCTGATCGCCGGCCAGGCCGAGGGACCCCAACCATGCACGAATTCATGCACCAGGCCTCTAGTTTATACATAACATTCTATTAAATGCAAGCTAACCTACAGTGGCAGAGCAGACCAGCGGTTGCCTGGGAAAAGAATTGCAAAAGGGCAGGAGGACACTGGAGGTGATAGACGTGTTCATTCTCTTGGTTGTGGTGAAGGTTTCACAAGTGTCAAAATGTGCCGTTTACTGTACTTCAATTATACCTCAATAAGGCTGTAAAGAAAGTCCTCTCTGTGCCACCCAATTCCTTCTCCACCCTCTGTGAGGACTCCCCCAGGTAGGGTTTATTGCTCCCGCTGCATTTTGGTTGCAACCGAATGTAACCATTTCAATCCTAGGAATCAATAACATATATCTGTCTCCTCACTCGATACCAAGCTTCTTGAAAGCCGAGTCTGGCCTTTGGCACCCCAGTAAGTGGTGATTGAATGGAACAGTGAACGTACCCCGATTTGAGTGGTAAATGTAAGCCAGTGATGGGGAGGGAAGGGCTGTCAGGTGGGCCATGTTGGGAGGGTCCAGAACACGGGGGGTGGGGGGATGGGCGGGGGAGGAGCAGGGATCGTGGATGGCTCAGGGCAGCTGCAGGAGTGGGAGTGAGAGGCCAGTGAGGAGGCTGTTGCTCTGGACCAAACCAGAGGAAACGAGGCTGGAACTAGAGAGAAGACAATTCGCTTGGAAGTAAAGCAAGTCATTTGAAAGACTTCATGGAGGTAAAATTTGGGAATTCAGAAATCAAGCAGGAAGAGTTGAAAGATAAAGCAGTTTATAGCCTGGAAAGTCTGGTCAGATGTTTCTTCTGTCATTGCTTTTGGGAAAAGAGCCATTTTCTTGGCCATGTGCTTATACATAACTGCCAGCTCCCTGAAGAAAGACTCAAACATCTGTGTGTTTGCCTTTGCTCATGATGAAGTCTGTGGGTTAATAATACGGGGTTACCAAATGCCAGGCATTGGTCTATGCAGCGGACC